TCTCTCCAAATTTTCTATCATCGGAGCCTCCCACCGGCGACTTGTTAAAGGAAACTGAAGAATACTCAAACACCGAACCCAGCTTAATCTTAACTTTGAACGACCTTCCATAGGATCCAATAGTTATCTCCTCAGGGACGTCATAAGGGCTGGCCACCCTAACCAAAATCTTCACCATCGATAGGTCTGCTCTGGTAACTGTATCTTCATGAATCTCTTCCACCAATCCCCACTTTCCTGCTACCCGTTCCAAAAAGGAATTTTGCCAACATAACAATGGAACCCCAAACAGATGTACGAGGCAAAAAGCCATTGGAACACCATCATCGTTCAATAAGAGAGCCAATCTATCAAACCAGAAAAATAACTCATCCTTTTTCTCTAGCCATGCATCCATCATTTCTTCCGTCGACTTAAATATAATAACACAAGAATTCCAGACATAACCCCATCTGGAAATCTGGACATCAAAACCTTCATTAACTAAGGCCTTCTGGACTAATTCGAACTCAAAAGAATGTTTGATGATCCCCGTTAATGATCTCTTCACCCAACTGGAGCTCTCAGACGGAATATGCATTTCCCAACTATTTTTTATACCTTTCCTCCTGTTGAAACCATCGATCGACCGATCCCTATGGTCCGATGCATTGCTCTTCAATCTATCAGACAGTAAGGCCTCCTTGTAAGATCTTGTATCTCTTACACTCCTGTTAATAACACCTTTCTCTTTGGACCTTGAATGATCTTCTGTGTTCGACCTTGACGGCAACATCATGGAAGTATTCTTCCCGACTGACCTCACCCTAGCATCCTTGTATCTTGCAGTACCCACTGAAATCCTCCAACCATCAATCATCGAACCATTCAGTTTGGCTATTGCCCTTTTTAGACTTTCCTCATTGCCAAAATGCACAAAAGCAAAAGTGAAGAATTTGTATTTCGGATTCCTTGTTTCTCTGGGAATGAACACTCTGACTACCGGACCGTGAGATGAAAACAACTCCCTTAACTCTCGTCGAGACACTCGTTTACTGAGATGATCTACGAACGCCGTCCAAACATTCTCTGAAGAAACTTTCTCTCTCAATTTTTCTCTCTCTACGTCACTATCTCTCTCCATCTCTGCCTTCACTGTTTCTATTTTTCCCTTTGATAGATTATGATTGCTCATTTTTAAAATTTGTGGTTTCACCTAATGTTGATGTATGTAAAAACTGTGGTTGTATAGATTTTATTTCAACAGCGTAACTATCCATTTCTTAGTTTATGGTTAATGGATAGGAAAATTTAAGATTAAACTTATTTCTTATGTAACTCTTTTATGGCTAAGGATAATTATATCCATAATATCTTCTGTTTTTCCTGTTCATATACTTCAACACTATCAGTTACACGATAAAAACTAATTTATCCATGCAACATATTGTCACACTAAGACTGAACAAATCTGCAAATATAAAATATAAGTTGTATCTCTCTTACTCTTCTTTAATCCTGCAGGCTTTGCTCGCAAAAGAGAATTCATAAATGCACCAACATTATCACGCAAAAACTCCTCCGACAAGCTCACCTATACAACAAGTGAAAAGTTTCACGGCCTCACTTTCAGCAATAACATTCTTAAACCACAAGATTATGTTCTTAAGTAAGATATGTAACCTTTCCAATTCCAACATGAACGTTAGATGTTTTGTCCATTCTGAATTTTACTTGACCCTGTTTTGCTTCTATGACTGCTTTAGTCACATCTTTGGTTACAGTACCTTGCTATACAAGTAGTTGTGAGGGTAGTAGCAAGTCAAATAGATTTGTTGAATTGCAATTAACACATGCAAGTATGATAGGAAGTGTTTCAACTTGGCCATGCATTAACAAAAATAAATATTAGATGATAAACCTACTTTGGGGTTTGGCATCAGACCATGCTGATTCAGAATCTTTGATATCTGAAAGATGTATAAACACACGTGGGTTGAACCAAATGACAATATTAACAAGTGACTATTTAAAAGAGCATCTGAAATCAAGAATCTTATAAAGGCGTTTCATGAAACTATGCGTTGAGAAACATCGGTCAGAGTCCACCTTGCCAGTGCCTGCCAAGGATACAAGGTCAGATTCAGAGAGAAATCCTGGATTAGTTACGAGTCATGTCAAAGGAAGTATCGACTCCAACTTCTGTCTGTTCAAGCTAAAGAAAAAATAGGGAACTCAGAAGCAAAAGCCTAAAGGGCATAAACTCTGACAAAGGTAATAATATAACAGTAATTAACTTAGACAAGGAAGCACCGGAATTAAGTAGATACAGAGAATGTCAGAATGATATTAAGAAGAGTGGTTCAATACTTGCAATTTCCTCGATAAGTTCAACACCACCAACAATATCAGCTCCGGCAGCTCTAGCTTCATCAGCATCTGTTCCTTCAGCAAAAACAGCCACCCTAACTTCCTGAAAATTCAAATATAGTATTGTTAGCAAACAATAAGGCAATTTAGTACAACATATTACATGATCTAGAAGAAAAGGCACTGAATACCTTCTTAGCACCATGAGGAAGTGCCATTGTACCACGAACAATCTGCATTTTGATTGAAAGAGCAATAAGTATACTAAAATTAACCCACTCTTACAAACAAATACAGAAACCAACAGTTGTAAGCACTTCAAAAGAATGTATGAGATTAATCTTAAAAAGAATAATCCAGACAGACTAAGATGCATAACAGCTCGGATCGCTTTTGGTCAATACCCAACCGCACATGAGCTTCAACGGTCTCATCAAAATTCGCCTTGGCATTAGCCTAAACAATTACTAGACATAATGTGCAGTAATTAGCAATGGCAATAAAACAACTAAACTATTACATAGACTATGTACCGAATCTTCAATTACAACAAACAGAGTATTTGTTACAGAAAAATATAATTAAGAACTAACATACTACTGCTGTAGAGTATTTACACTGACCTTGACTTCCCTAATGGCATCCATCAAATCAAGAACAGGACGCTTCTCCTTCTTTTTCTCAGGCATAATCAGCAAAGGGAAGGGAACTTTCTCCTCCTCAGCCACCATCCTAAAAGGTTTCCTCCAAACTCGACTTTCGGCCTGAATTCTTCAATTGTCGCTCGCCATCTCCTCGTTTTCTGCATCCCTCACTTCCCCATCTCGTTCAGAGAGATCCTCGGGGAGAGGGGCCACACGTGCGGGATACGAGACGGATGAGATATTGGGTACATCTTTGACGTAACGGAGGTCCTCCCGGTTCCACGTGGATTGAGGCCCTTGGGGCGCAGCTTGAGGGGATTCGTCTGGTAGTGTTTGTTGGTGTTGGGGGTCTTTGGGCTTGGGGGCGTAGGAGACTGGTTGAATAAGAGGGGATTGAGAAGAAGAAGAAGAAGAAGAAGAGAGGGATCTGTGGAGAGGGAGGAAAGGAGAAGAGGAGCAATGGGGGAGGGAAAGACGGCGTGATTGAGAGAGGAGGAGCTTGAAGCCTGCCATTTTTGTTTATTCAACTCCACTGGAATGGATGTTCCTGTGGCCGTCTTTAGTAGGAAAGGAAGGGTTGGGGAAGAGCACGGATAGGAGAGAATGGCGTTTTGGCTTCGGGGGGTTTAGTTGGATTAAAAAATTAAAGTACATTTTATTCCCTAAACTTGATAACATTCATAATTTGATCCTTGCATTTTTCTTAGCTCATACTAGTAAGTGAATTTATTTTTTATTTTATTTTATTTTGATGAAATAACATTTTGAGAATATGGCAATAATATAATATTAAAATTTATATTTTCTAAAAAATTAAAAATTATGATAAACTACACGTTTAGTACTTAAACTATTACATTTCTTTTGTTTTGATTCCTAAATTTTATAAAAAAACTAATGTTTTGTTTAAGCAATTTGTTACACTGTCGTAAAAAACTTAATAGAACTACTAACGTAATATTTTTTCAATAATGATGTGACATTACTTTATAATGACACATCAACATCATTGTTAAGTTTTTAACAAAAGTTTTTAATAGTGGAGTGTTAAATTAAATCCTAAACTAAACGATAAGTATGGTTTAAAAAAAATAAAGTTTGGGTACCAAAACAAAATAAAAGTAATATTTTAGGTACTACATATGTAGTTTACCCTAAAAACTATATAATTATTAAATATTGAAAAATAAGTATTGTTTAGTCCCTAAATTTTATAACATTCACAATTTGATCTTTGATTTATTTTTGGCTCATACTGATACTAATATATAAATTTGATAATTTTTATTCATTTTGATGACATGATATTTTAAAAATGTATCACATAATATAATATTAAAACATCATATTTTCTATAAAAAAAATTAAATTTAAATAATATAGACAAAAAAAACAAAAAAACAAGCTAGAAAAAGATATCAGATTTATGAAAAAAAAGGTGATGTCATGCATCAATATATGATCGACTAAAGAGTTTTTTTTTTAGATAATTGGGACCAAAATAACAACATATTTGTTTTCATAAAAAATACTAAAATAAAATAAGAGTATAATTTAGAGGTGATTTTGCATTTAGACCTTTTAGTTTGAGGCTAATTAACGATTCGTATCTCCAAATTTAAGACAAATTTGTTATCAGTCCTTATGTTATGCATAAATTATGAATTTAATCTTCACATTTTAATTTAATCATTTTTATTTTTTGTACTTCTTAAAATTTAGAACTTTGATCATGATTTAGAATAATAATATGAAAATGTAAATTTTTGTATAGTACTGTAAAATGTTTGATAAGTAATTATTTTTATTTTTATTATAAAGTAAATATAAAATGTGGATATTGATGCTTTAATTGATAAAAGTGTTCAAACTCAAAACTTTAAGCTCAGTTTCAACAAAATCTAATTAAATAATCTCTCTACATGGAAGATATTATGTTTAATGAATGATTAATGTTGCTGAGGTTACATTGCAAACCCTAATTATACATCAATGATGCCAAAAATGTGAAGCAGGAATAAATATACAATTGCTTGCAATGTTATGTACATCAAAATCTGAACAAATGCATGAAATAAACCACACTACCAAGCAGAGATGTATAATGGATCTCACGGTTTTCGTTTTAACTAGGGTCGAGGTCCCGCGATATTTGGCTTTGCCATCTGCATTATATATGATAAAGGTTTTAGAACAGTTTGGTGCCATTAAAATTTAAGAGAGTTCATCTTTTCACATAATTAATCATTTCTTAGGTAGGGAGTAATGCTCCTTCAAACCTGGAGAGAAGAAATCTTGCGAGTGGGGTCAAGTTGGAATTTGAATGAAGTTCTTTATGATTCGCCTTTTTCTTACTGTCTGTGCCGGGACTTGTATTTTGAGAATCTCCAGGGGTTATCTTGCCCTTATCGAACAAGCGAGCAGCTACCTTCTGCATATCTTTCATTGACGATTCCTTTGAGCTGCAAAAGTTTGTCAGCTTCAGTTTCATCATGGTAAAATGCCAAGAACAATTATGTACAGAACGAAAGGATACTGCAAGATACCAAAATTATTTTCTTTCTGTACCTTGCCAATCGATTGAGCAACTTATAAACAAGAGCTTCACAAGATCCAGGCTTTGTAAGCTCCATATGTACAAGAGAATTTGTAACTGCATGCACAACGGACCCTTCTGAATTATCACCGATTACCTACATTCCGTGAACTGACAAACTATTAAGAAGTTAACAAGTCCAACGCAAAACTAACTCATGTCGTCAGCTGATGGGGAAATTGAATAATCATCCCATCTTTCAGACTTCATCATCAATACAGCCTCTGGGTTGCCTAAATCTGAACAACATTTCAAAGCTTCGTCTATCACACTAATTGGCAAGCATAAACGTAACTAAACATCATGTGGTGCATACCTCTTTAGTGGAAGGGATAAGCAACATGGATAGTGGTACAGATGATAATGCAATCCTTGTATTTTCTTCTTCATCACTTGGTTGACGTGTTCTTGGGAATGCTCTTTGTGTGTCAAAATATTCATGAGAACTTCACACAACCGAATCATAACCAAAGCTATATAAAATTCTGCAGCAACAATATCGAAAGTTCTTTATCTGGTTTACCTGGAAGAGTCAGAACTCTTACTCATTTGATCTCTTCTGTTTCCATTTCCTGGCGTACTGTTCTTGCTCATTGCAAACCTGTCCCTAGCATTTCCTTTCCTCAGCCCGGCTTGAATTGCAGCCTTTGCCTGTATCAAACACATTAAAACAAAAGGCATGATCATACACTGTTTAGAAGCTAATAATATATTTGAGTTCCATGCTAAACTCGGATTTATATAGGAAGAAATTGAAAAAGTGTTGGAAATCCTAGAATTAAGGGATTGAATCTTCTTCCTTATTTTTAGGAGTTAACTTAGTGTAAATATGTCTCTAATTGTAGTTCCTAATTTTTAGGGATTCTTTCCTATTTTTTGCACTAATTCTTACTTTAAAAGATGTAATATGCTGTTAGAGAAATATCAGAATCATTTTTCTCAAATCTGTTCATGGTGTCAGAGCTGTAGGGATATTTCTGATCCATTCTACTTCTTTATTTTTCTCCCGTGTCTTGTTTTTCTATCATGGAAAATACTGAAAATATTTCTGATTCTGAGACTTCACAAGTAACTCAGAATGTCAACCAAGCACTATCTCATAGTGATGTTTATTCGTCCCTCACAATCACTAATCATCGATTCGATGGGAAGAATTTTTTACAGTGGTCTCAATCAGTACTCATGGTGATTCGAGGTCGTGGGAAACTAGGATATATCAGTGGAGAAATTCCACGTCCTCACCTTACTGATCCTACATATGCCACGTGGGAACTCAATAATTCTATTGTCATGGCCTGGCTGATCAACTCCATGGAGAGTCACATAAGCCGAACCTACCTCTTGTTCAAGACTGCAAAAGAAATGTGGGATGCAGTCAAGGAGAACTATTCTGATCTAGGAAATGCTTCTCAAGTTTTTGAAATCAATCTAAAATTAAAAGACATTCAGCAAGGAACTCTTGAAGTTACACAGTACTACAACAACTTAAAAGTCTTATGGCAGGAACTCGATATGTACTATGAAGTGGACTGGGGTGAAGGCTTGGAGCACACCAAGTTCATGTCACATCTCAATAAAGAACGGCTCTATGAGTTCCTAGCAGGGCTGAACCGAGACTTGGACGAAGTTCGTGGTCGTATTCTGGGTAGGACCCCTCTTCCAACAATTGGAGAAGCATTTGCAAAGGTTCGGAGAGAAGAAAATCGTCGCCGAGTAATGATGGGAGATTCCAAGGAACAAAAACCTGTGACCAATTATGGTCATAGTCCTACTGAATCATCTGCCTTGGTCTCAAGGGACCCTCAATCTCAAAAAATTCGAGCAGGGAATGATTCGAAACTAAGTCACTCAGGAGATCGACTGTGGTGTAGCTATTGTAACCGTACCAGCCACACAAAGGAAAAATGTTTCAAGCTCCACGGTTATCTCGGTACAACAAAAATTCAGAAGGAAAATAAGGCTCTTTTATCCTTGGGCAGCTCATCCACTGCGACCCCTGTACCTACTGAAGCCGTTCCGGATGTTTGCCTAACAAAGTCCCAACTTGAAACTCTTCACAAGTTACTCGGTGCACCAATAAGCCATGGTTCCTTGGCTATTCAAGGTATTGCTTTTAATATTACTTCTGAATGAATCTAGTAACCATCCATCCTGGATTCTAGATTCGGGAGCATCCAATCACATGATAGGTAATTTACCATTATTCCATACGTATGCCCCCTGCCACAACCAATCTCGAATTCGGATAGCTGATGGTTCATACTCATCTATTGCTGGAATTGTGGATGTTCGACTCACTAAGGACTTCTCACTCGAGAAAGGTCTTCATGTCCCGAATTTATCTTGTAATTTACTGTCAGTAAGTAAACTTACTGAAGGCAAGGTTGTTTGTGCTGAATTTTCTGATGATGGTTGTATTATACAGGAACAGAAATCGGGGAGGATGATTGACACTGCTAAGGTTGATGATGGACTCTATATTTGGGATGACTACAAGGACAAGAATAAAAAAGGAGTATTTGCTCTCTGCTTCAAACGAGGACACTATCATGATGTGGCATCGTAGGTTAGGACATCCAAATTTCCTGTATTTGAAGCATTTGCTCCCTATGTTATTTCGGAATAAAAAAATCAATTCCTTGAAATGTGAAATCTGTCAATTGTCAAAACATACCCGTGTTCCTTATCCTTTGAAGCCTTATATACAATCCAAATCTTTCTCTTTGATTCATAGTGACCTATGGGGGGCCAAGTCATGTTAAAAACATCACGGGGGCTAGATGGTTCATAACATTTATTGATGACCATACTAGAGTATGTTGGATTTACCTTCTAAAAGAAAAAACAGAAACACCAAAGGTATTCTAGAATTTCCACTCCATGATCTGAACCCAATTTGACTCAAACATACACACGCTCCGCACTGATAATGGAAGGGAGTATTTCAATTCTGTTTTAAGCCCTTATCTCTCTGAACAAGGCATTATTCATCAAAGCTCTTGTCCAGACACACCTCAACAAAACAGGATCTCAGAAAGAAAAAATAGACATATACTAGCTATTGCTCGAGCCTTAATGTTTACCATGAAAGTTCCAAAATACCTATGGGGGGAGGCTGTCCTTACTGCATGTTATTTAATAAACCGTATGCCCTCTAGAGTTCTTAATCTCCAAACTCCTTTACATGTCCTACAAAAAAACTTTCCCCTGTTTCGTGTTCCTATCCTACCAGCCAAGATATTTGATTGTAAAGCCTTTGTACATAATCACCAACCTAATCAATCCAAACTTGATCCCCGAGCACACCTATGCGTCTTTGTTGGCTACTCATCCACACAAAAAGGATACAAATGTTACTCACCCACCTTGCGTCGCATATTTGTCTCTCGTGATGTCACATTTTTTGAAACCGACCCGTATTTTTCTGCCACTCATCTTCAGGGGGAGACTCTTAGTGAAGATGAGACTCTTCATACTCTTCTTATTATATCCCCTGAGCCTATCCTTAACACCACTGTCACACAAAATTCTAAGGGTGACCCTGTCCTCATAACACCATATTTGAGTGTTCCACTGGAGAGAAATGAATTTTCTAGCGATGAAATCCCCATTGGAAGTAAGCTTCAACAACCTAATCCTTCTGAGAAACCCCAGCTACGGCCTCCAGAAATCATTGTTTATTCTCGGAAACATTTTCCTCCTAAAACGACACAGCAGCAGTGCCAAATTCATCCAACTTCGAGGACTGTTCTGTTTCAGATCAGTCTCCTGGTTCGTCGGATATGGATCTTCCTATCGCTGTTCGTAAAGGCACAAGAGCTTGTACTCAGCATCCAATCTCTCGGTTTGTATCCTATGGAAATTTATCTAAAGCTTACAAAACTTTTGTAACTAATATTGACAGTGTAAAGACTCCAAGAAATGTGAAAGAGGCTTTGGAATCAACCAAATGGAGACATGTTGTTTTTGAAGAAATGGATGCTCTCAAAAATAATAGGACATGGGAAATTACAGATCTGCCAGAAGGGAAGACAACCGTGGGTTGTAAATGGATTTTCACCACAAAAATCAAGCCTGATGGGGGTATTGATCGGCACAAGGCCCGGCTTGTGGCAAGAGGCTTTACTCAAACCTATGGTCTCGATTATGATGAGACGTTTGCCCCCGTTGCAAAGCTGAATAATGTTCGAGTGCTACTTTCCTTAGCTGTCAACCTTGATTGGCCCTTAACACAACTTGATGTAAAAAATGCATTCCTCAATGGAGACTTGAGCGAGGAAGTATACATGGACTTTCCACCAGGCTTTGAAGAAGAAAAAGGGCGAGTATGTAGATTAAAGAAGTCACTATACGGACTAAAACAATCCCCAAGAGCTTGGTTCAGCCGGTTTGCCAAGGCTATGACCAGCAGGAATTACACCCAGGGGCAAACAGATCATACACTATTTTACAAACACTCGGGAAATGGGAAATAATCTATTCTTATCATCTATGTTGATGATATTATTCTAACAGGGGATGATTTGAGTGAGCTGTTGAAACTAAAAGACTTCCTCAGCACAGAATTTGAGCTTAAAGATTTGGGGAATCTCAAATACTTCCTTGGCATGGAAGTAGCACAAACTCGGACAAGCATTTCTATTTCCCAACGAAAGTATGTTCTTGATTTATTGGCTGAAACTGGCATGCTAGGTTGTAAACCTGCCGAGACCCCAATGGAGTTCAATTCTAAGCTAGGCAATGATGATGATGGGGAAAAAGTAGACAGGGGGAGATACCAGCGACTCGTGGGAAAACTAATTTATCTATCTCACACCCGACCTGATATTGCATTCAGTGTGAGTGTCATCAGTCAGTATATACATGCTCCAAAGGAAAAACATTTGGAGGCGGTTTACAGGATGCTAAGGTATTTGAAAGGAACACCGGGTAAAGGTTTTCATTTCAAGAAAAACACCAGTCGTGACATAGAACTTTACACTGATGCTGATTGGGCAGGATCAGTGAGTGACAGACGATCTACAAGTGGTTATTGTAGCTATGTGTGGGGCAATCTTGTGTCATGGAGAAGTAAAAAACAGTCCGTTGTGGCTCAAAACAGTCCGTTGTGGCTCGTAGCAGTGCTGAGGCAGAATATCGAGCTTTATCTTATGGTATATGTGAAGGAATTTGGTTACAAAGATTAATGAACTTAAAGTATCCTATGTTAAACCTATGAAGGTATATTGTGATAATCAAGCTGCTGTCAGTATAGCACATAACCCAGTTCATCACGATCGTACTAAACATGTGGAGATAGATCGTCATTTTATCAGAGAGAAGGTAAATTCAGGAGAAGTTTGTATCACCTATCTTCCTACTAAGCAACAAGTTGCAGACTTGCTAACTAAAAGTCTGAGTAAGAATGTGTTTGAAGATTTTATTGGCAAGCTGGGATTGATAAATATCTACACACCAGCTTGAGGGGGAGTGTTGGAAATCCTAGAATTAAGGGACTGAATCTTCTTCCTTATTTTTAGGAGTTTACTTAGTGTAAATATGTCTCTAGTTGTAGTTCCTAATTTTTAGGGATTCTTTCCTATTTTTTGCACTAATTCTTACTTTAAAAGATGTAATATGCTGTTAGAGAAATATCAGAATCATTTTTCTCAAATCTGTTCAAAAAGTACATGATTAAGAACGATGAAAAGTGAAAACAACCTTGGCAAGATTTTCTGTACTATCTTCAGCTGATGGAGTCAAAGATTTCCCTTGAACAACTAGCCTAGATCTTGGGGTTTGAGGAGAATCGGAGTCATCATGATGGCTACGGTAAACAATAGTTCCACTGGTAGAAGCATCTTCAAAAGAAGCATATGCGCTGCTAGACTACACAACACATTGAATTCTAAAAAAATCAATGGCCGAGACAAAACAGAATTTTGTCCTTGTACCCTATTCAACTTGAGGTTTTAGTCCAAATCACTGATACCGATATTATAGTCTACATCAGCCGATTAACAGAATATTTTTTTACAGTACTGATGATTTGGACTAGGTTATAGCATTAATAAGAGGATCAAATTATGCCAAATTAAAGTACAAGGACTAACTCCCATGTCAAGAATAGTCCTGGGACAAGAACCATAATTTGTGCAAGAACTCATCGACTTCATATTTTTGTGAAGACAACAGCGAGTGAAGTGAAGGAGGCTTACAAGAGAACCGGGGTACAGTTCCAGACCCACTGACTGATGTTTCATCCTGGGAATAAAACAACAAAACCAATTTAATAAGATCCGAGTTGAAAAGGATCATATAATTAAGTGTGAGAGACATAAACAGACTATATCAGAAATAGCTGGTGATCCAGCTAAGTGAGTTTCTCTAGTAAAATTAGAGGCAGACAGGAGAAGAATTCTCAAATATTTTATTCATATTACAACAAAGCCTGTCAATTAAAACATCATATATTTAGCTCCAATCCGTCAAAAAAGAAAGAGGTCTTTGAAACCCCAAGATCCTCCCATGCAATTTGAGTGCATTGGACAAGAAAAGAACTTCTGATGCCAAATGCCACAATGCATTTGAAAGTTGCCATTGCTTTGAAAGTTTTCTTCTGTGAGAGAGTCAGATAGAGAATCTTACATCATGGTAGTTATCCTGATTTTTATCGGAATATGATTCTCTAGTGCCTTTTCCAAAGGAAACATCAGGGAATTCATTAAGTGCATTCCCACTCTCTGGAGGTCTCGGTATAGCTTGATTATATGCAACATCTAGTTTCCTTTCTCTAACTTGAGGAGGTTTTGGAGCACTTCGAACAGTGCTCGTATTCTGCATTCCACCAATACTGAAGTCCCATCCAGCACTTCTAAATGGTTTCCCCTGATTACTGCTGATCAGAAGAAGTCAATAAGGATCCCATCAAAACCAAGAAGTAATGCTAGTTAACATGATAAAACCCACCTAGCTCGAATAATTCCTTCACCTCTTATATCTCTTGCTGCCTTAACAGTGTCAATTGACTCTCCTAAATATTTGGTGCCATTTCTAGGGGTTTCCGCATCTTCCTTTAATTGGTACTTCGGCCGCTCTCTATTAATAACAAAAAATGCAAGCGTCATAACTACAATAGCCAATGTAAGAATGAAATTTGAACCTAGCATCCCATAGTCACGACGTTTCAAAAACATAACAAACACCATAAGCACATTTCATTGTTCCAGGTGCTGACACTGAAAATTCCATAAGATACTGATTCCTATAACATGTAGATCACGAAAAACCAAGCATGGGACGGCACCTAATTCTCTCCAGAAGCCTCTGACTCTTCCTAGCACTCTTGATAAAACGATGCTTGAGAAGCTCCTTGGCACTAGCCCTCTGAAATTAAACGGATAAAAGAAAAGCATAAGAAGCAATTTAGAGCACTTGTAATAGTTTTAAAAGACAACACATCAACATCAATGTTGCAGTTTATTGGCAGCTTACAAAGTTCAAGAGAAAACAACATACTAAAAGTACAGAAACATAAGAAAGCTTGAAAGCATAATTGCTTACCTCAGCAGGTACCTTCTTTAAACATAAAGAAACAAATTCTTTCATAGGGCGGGAAAAATGCTCTTCCAACTGCAGGATAGAAATTCAGGGATTACATCTAAAATGTACAGCATAATGATTCTAGCAAGAGGGAGAAACATAAGAATAAATAATTTGATACAAATTTCATCACGATAAAAAAAATTACTGAGATTACCTGAGGTGGATTTTCTCGAGGTATTATAAAAAGAACTCTCATAGGGTGAAGGTCTGCTAATGGAGGTTCACCTTTGGCCATTTCAATCACAGTTATGCCCAAAGACCATATATCTGCCTGTAACAGCAAATAATAGGAGTGATGGGATTTTCATTACTTAACAAGGCTTAGAAGACAACGATATGGAAGGCTGTGTGTTGGAAATCCTTAAATTAAGGAGATTCTCTATCTTAGTTCTAGGAATTTCCTTGTAAATATTAGTCATAATCTAATTACTGATTTTTAGGGATATGCTTATTATTAGAGATTATTTCCTTGTAAATATTAGAGATTATTTCTTTTTTTATTTTTTTCTGCTATGTTAAAAAGGGTGTACTCTTATTCGAAGAAATGAGAGACTTTTCTTCTTCCTAAATTTGTTCATGGTATCAGAGTCATAGGATTCATTCGATCCTACTCATTTGTCTCTCATCTCTCTTCCTAAACATTTTTTTCTTCTCTCATGGGTGATATCAATGAAAACCTCTCTAATTCCGGTTCAAATAGGCTATGGTGTAGCCACTGTAACCGGGTTGGACATACCAAGGAGAAATGCTTTAAGCTCCATGGTTTTCCTGAAAAAAAATCAGAAAGAAAACAAGGCAGCAATGATATCTACTACTGAAGAAGATGCCCAGGATGTTCGGCTCACCAAAACTCAACTTGAGGCTCTTCATAAACTCCTCGGGACTCCTACAACCATTGGATCACTAGCTATTCAAGGTACTGCCTTAAATACTACACATGAACCAATCTGGAAACTAGATTCGGGTGCATCCAACCACATGACAGGTAATATAAGTTTGTTCACACATATTTACCTTGTCATGATCACTCCCGGATTCGCATAGCTGATGGATCTTACTCCCCGGTGGCTGGAATTGGAACGATCAGACTTACTGAAAATTTTTCCATTGATAAAGTTTTATATGTTCCAAATCTTTCTTGTTATTTACTCTCAATTAGCAAGCTTACCAAGGATGAGAAAGTACTTGTTGAATTTTCTGCTTTCGGTTGTGTGGTTCAGGAACAGGAATCGGGGAAGATGATTGGCACTGCTAAAGTTGATGATGGCTTATATATTTGGAATAAAAACAGTTCACAAGAAGGGATGGTCTTATCTACATCGAAAGAAGAATCTATCATGCTATGGCACCGTAGACTAGGACACCCTAATTTTACGTACTTGAAAAAATTGTTTCCTCTACTATTTCTAAATAAGAAAATAAGTTCCTTGAATTGTGAAGTTTGCCAACTGTCTAAACATACTCGTGTCCCTTATCCTTTGAAACCTTATGTTCAATCTCAACCTTTCTCTTTAATCCACAGTGATCTATGGGGAGCCAGTCGAGTAAAAAATATCATAGGGCTAGGTGGTTCATAACATTCATTGATGACCACACTAGAGTTTGTTGGATCTATCTTCTCAAAGAAAAAACCGAAGTCTCTAGAGTCTTCCAAAGTTTTCATTCAATGATTCAAACTCAGTTCAATTCCAAAATTCATACCCTTAGAACTGATAATGGGAGAGAGTACTTCAATTCTATCCTAAGCCCTTATCTTTCTGAGCAAGGAATCATACATCAGAGTTCTTGTCCTGACACCCCTCAACAAAACGGGGTTTCCGAGAGGAAAAACAGACACCTTTTAGCCGTGGCTCGTGCTCTTATGTTTACTATGGGTGTACCGAAGTATTTATGGGGAGAAGTTGTTCTCACTGCTTGTTATCTTATAAACCGACTCCCATCAAAGGTATTAAACTTTCAAACACCTTTACATACTCTTCAAAAAATATTTCCCTTGTTTCGTGTTCCTAATATCCCAACCAAAACTTTTGGTTGCAAAGCATTTGTCCACAATCATCAACCTAACCGATCTAAACTTGATCCTAGAGCTCACACTTGTGTCTTTCTTGGATACTCACCTACACAAAAGGGGTACAAGTGTTATTCTCCAACCCTACACCGAATGTTTGTGTCCCTTGATGTTACTTTCTTCGAAAACGAGCCATATTTTTCAGCCTCTCATCTTCAGGGGGAGATATTTAGTGAACATGAGACATTGAACAACCTTCTCATTATACCTCAAGACTCTATCAATCCTACCACCACTACAAAACCTGCTGAAAATCCTACAGCCACTGCTGAAATTCCTACAGCCATTGTAATTCCTGATTTGGACCCTGTTTTACTCGACTCCACTGTGCAGCAACAAGAAACAAGGGCGATTAATCATACAAATGAAGAAAAACAACCCTCTCCTTCTGAAAAACAACAAGAAAAAACTCAGCAGCTTCGTGTATATTCTCGGAAACATCAGCTGCCAGAAACTGAAACAGCAGTGCCAATTCCATCTTTACCCGAGGATTGTCCTGAGGAAGAAGTCTCACCTCCTTTGCCTTCCATCTATCTTCCAATTGCAATCAGAAAGGGCACGAGAAGTTGCACTCAACATCCCATTTATCGGTTTGTATCCTATGGGAACTTGTCTAAATCTTACGGGAACTTGTCTAAATCCTACAATGCCTTTATTTCTAATATTGACTCTGTAGAAACTCCAAAGAACATAGAAGAGGCTCTTAAGTCAACCAAATGGAAGCAAGCCGTGTTGGAAGAAATAAAGGCTCTTGAAGACAATGGAACGTGGGAAATATCTAAACTACCTACTGGAAAGAAGACCGTGGGTTGTAAGTGGATTTTCACTACGAAAGTTAAACCAGATGGGAGTATTGATCGATACAAGGCTAGACTTGTGGCCAGGGGTTTCACTCAAACATATGGGTTGGACTACGAGGAAACATTTGCACCAATGGCCAAACTAAATACTATTCGAGTGTTGTTCTCAATTGCTGTCAATTTAGATTGGCCTTTGATCCAATTGGATGTAAAGAATGCTTTTCTCAATGGAGAATTAAACGAAGAAGTCTACATGGATTTTCCGCCCGGATTCGAAGGAAGCAAGGGCCAAGTATGCAAGTTGAAGAAGTCTTTATATGGACTAAAGCAATCCCCCAGGGCTTGGTTTAATCGTTTTGCCAAAGCCATGACGAGTAGACAGTATATTCAAGGTCAAGCTGATTACACCTTATTCTACAAACACTCGGCTAATGGGAAGTGTTGTATTCTCATTGTATACGTTGATGACATAATATTGACAGGAGATGACTCTATTGAAATTGAAAGACTAAAAGAATTCTTAAGTCTTGAGTTTCAACTTAAAGACTTGGGGAATCTTAGATATTTTCTTGGAATGGAGATAGCAAGGTCAAAGGCAGGTATTTCAATCTCTCAAAGAAAGTATGTTCTTGATCTACTTTCTGAAGTCGGACTGTTGGGTTGCAAACCAGCCGATACTCCCATGGAACCCAACCTTAAATTAGGAACTGATAAGGATGGAGAAGTGGTAGACAGGGAGACATATCAAAGGTTAGTGGGAAAGCTTATCTATCTTTCTCATACTCGTCCAGACATAGCGTTTGGAGTAAGTGTTATTAGTCAATTTATGCATGCTCCTAGAGAGAAACATTTGGAAGTTGCCTACAGGATATTGAGATATTTAAAAGGGACTCCGGGTAAGGGCATTTAAAAAAAAATGTAAATTGAAGCATAGAATTCTACACTGATACAGACTGGGCAGGTGCTATTAATGACAGGCGCTCCCCAAGTGGTTATTGTAGCTATGTTTGGGGTAATCTCGTGACATGGAGGAGTAAAAAGCAGTCGGTTGTGGCACGAAGCTGAGTATCGAGCTCTGTCCCAAGGTATATGTGAAGGAATGTGGCTACAACGGCTAATGGGAGAACTAAAATTATCCTATACAACACCTATAATATTGAACTGTGACAACCAGGCAGCAGTTAATATAGCTCACAACCCTGTACACCATGACCGCACCAAGCATGTGGAAATCGATCGCCACTTCATTATAGAGAAAATTAACAAAGGGGAAGTTTGTGTTTCATATCTACCTACTCGACAACAAGTAGCAGATGTGTTAACCAAGAGCTTCAGCAGAAAAAGGTTCGAAGAAATTATGGGCAAGCTAGGTTCGATTGACATCTACACTCCAACTTGAGGGGGAGTGTTGGAAATCCTTAAATTAAGGAGATTCTCTACCTTAGTTCTAGGAATTTCCTTGTAAATATTAGTCATAATCTAATTACTGATTTTTAGGGATAGGCTTATTATTAGAGATTATTTCCTTGTAAATATTAGAGATTATTTCCTTTTTTATTTTTTTCTGCTATGTTGAAAAAGGTGTACTCCTATTCGAAGAAATGAGAGACTTTTCTTCTTCCTAAATTTGTTCACTGCGCATATATGAGAGAGAGAGAGAAAGCACAAATCGATAGCAGGTGAAAGTAGCAAAACATGTTAGAAAACTCAAGAAAGATAAGCAGAGCTTTATAAGTACCTTTTCATTGTATCCATCTGAGTTTTGAATAACTTCAGGTGCCATCCAGAATGGTGTTCCTACAAAAGTCTGATGTTGTCAACCATGTTAGTTCATTGCTGAGCATATAAATATCAAACCATTCTACACACAGAGGGGTGGGAGACAGAGAGAGCAGCCAAAAATTAGAGTCTGACTAAAGGCATAGATTAAGGAAAAAATAGCTGAAGGCTGAAAAGAGCATTCATGCTTATTGGAAAAATGATGTTAACAAAAGAAAATGAATTATACCTTTCTCCGTGATATTGTCCTCGTTAATTGTGCTGAAACACCAAAATCTGCAACCTGATTCATGGCCACAAACTTAACTTCCAACAGCAGAATGCATATACATATACCAACTTTATACTTATATGCATAGCAACTCTACAGAAATAAATTTGAGAGAAAGAAAAGTACCTTAACATCACCATTCTCAGCCAATAAAATGTTTGCAGCTGCCAAAAGTGATAGCAAAAAACGTTGGCAGTAATGAAGAGTAAGTTGCTATATACAAACAACAGTTAAAATCAAATGGCTGAAGAAAATGAGAAGAATAATTTGAAGCAGGCAACTACCCATACAAATCTCTAAACCAAATACTCTAAGTTATTCTTCGTATCTATGTGTCACTATATCTTATAATTTATAAGTGGGTAAAATAAGTAAATGAAAACAACCTTTGATATCTCTGTGAATCTTTCCTTCATTATGTAGGTATTCAACTGCATGCAGCAAACCCCTTGTGATACTGGCAATTGACATATCATCAAGTGGAGGTCCAGATTGGAGCTGTACAGAAAGAGTCGCCACTAACTTTCCAGATTAAAAAAAAGAACAGTTATTTGAAAATTATAGTCCACTGGAACATATAGCAAACAAGTTCAGAGACACAAATATAAGCGGAAAAAGGCTACTTCATATGCAAGCCGGAGAGAGAGATGATGAAATTTGTAGTTGTATTATACCCTCCAAAAAAAATCAAGACGGAGATCGTGTGCTGACATTGGAGCAGGGAAAGAAAAAGACCACCAATGTCTACTAAGATAAGTGCCTTGCAATTGGAGCTAAAAGCACTACTATAGGGAAGATGGTAGCAATGCCTTCAAAGTTTTGCAATTATCTTTACCTACTTTAGATGAAATTTAGCAATGAAAATAGTTCTATAGAATCTTAAGCATGAGGTTAATAATTTAAAATTACACAAGGTCGCTATTAGCAACCAAACATGCAGAAGCAAGTAATAGAAGTAACCTACTAGGTCAGCAACAGAACCACCAGCCATGTATTCCATTATTATCCACAGTTTAGTTTGGTGAAGATAGGAACCATAATACTCTGTGATGTATGGACAGCGGCACTGTGACAAAACAGAAATTTCCTGGAACAAAAACAGAACATATGAAAAACCTAGTAACCTATTCATTGAAAACTTAGGATACTAGCTCCCAGGTAAGTAAGGTAACACATTCTGGATGTCCTCAATTTCATCCTCACTGCAAAATGCAAAAAAACAACACAACCATAAGAAACAGCTAAAACCCAAAATAAAAATGAACAGAGTGAAATGAAAGAAGACTTATATGCCCCAGCTACTTGTTAGTAAGTAAAGGCTTCTGCAACTCCCATGCGAGTTGATCAATTATAATGATTCTAAGTTGATCAATTATAATGATTCTAAGGATGATATTGATAAAGGGAAGATAAATTTACCGTGGTGGACAAGTGCACGAACTATTGATGCAATTAATTTACATAGACTGAGAGGAAGATGGAAAGAGGATGGAAAAAGAACAAGTTAATACTTGACATAGCCTCGGCAATTTGTTTTTTTCTTGTTGCCTTTGTGTAATTTAATGCACCATAATTTTGTTTAAGATATTGAATATTTATAAACTTTGATACGTTAACAATTCATGTTATATTTATTTTGACACATTCATTTATCCATGTCGTGTTCATGTTATTTTTTCTTACCATGTTTTATTTTGATTTATATATTCTTCCCATGTCATGGTTGTGTCGTGTAATTGTATTGTATCCAAAGTTGTCAAATATAACTTGGAAAATGAACTATAGACAGAAGGTAGTATACAAATTACAAGACTTTCTTGCTAATTTAACAAAGGTACCAACTTACGATTCCTCTAAATCAATTACTTTAATAGCGACTTCTTTGTTCAACTCCTTATCAAAGCTGCAAATCAAGAAATGCATCAGTTATCCATCTCATTTTCATTATCCATGATTCATTGTTTAAACAGCCACATAATTTTTGCAACAGTCAATCTCGAAGCCTATTTAATTATGAGCACACTCTTACAGCAAGATAATCCAACTGCTACAAACATTACAAAATGAAATAAGAAAATAACAAACACAATTGAACAAAGCAATTAGAATGCTCATAAAGTTCGAATGTCTCCATATATTCCTATTTAAAGTGTATATGATTTGATAGTCAATTATTACTTGGTCAATTGACAACTATATATCTCAAATCTTAGTGGTGCATTCAACTTAAGATTTGATATGACATTGATTCAACAAAGCATTGGTATCGATAATCTAACCCCACAAGCACAAAGAAACTCTAAATTAAGCACTGGTAAAAACGTTCAATAATGTGCAACATAATTAACGTTCGATCGCAAGTATGACTATCACATTGAAATTCTTTTCTTACAACAAAAGTAAATAAGCAATACAAATGCACTCAAGCAATGAGATTGGGAAAGAAATCGAAATAATAGACTTATGCTTTATAGACATCACCAAAGGATCCCCTACCAATCAACTCCACCTGACTAAATCTAGACCCTGCAGCTGCTTGTAAACCTTCTATATCAGCCATTTCTGCATACAAACTCCCTGGACACCAAAGATTACAGCCACCCCAAATTCCAACACCTCAAAACATTCACATTCCACCCATTCTTCAATTAAGATTCAACACCCACTTCCAAATTGCCAAAACCAGCCTAAAAAACCCAATCCCTGAAGCAGAAATGTCCAAAAGAAGGGGGGGGGGGGGGAAGGGGAAAAATCCCATTAATAAGTAAAAATCATACCTATAAATAACAAAAACAAAAGCATATCTTAAAATATTCCCACATTTCAATATCTAAAATATCAGAGACAAAATAAATAAAGTTAGAAAATGCCTATAAGCTCTCATGCTGAAAGCAAAGAATGCACGATAGACACCAAAGAGAAAAACATCAATAAAAGATGGGATAACCTACGATTTACAGGCTAGCATAAACAACAATAATTCTTACAACCAAATTAAAAAAAAAAAAACCTCTCTTTACAAATTTCAATCTCCGATAGTGGAACCACAACATCCCCAAGTGTCCAACAGAAAACAAAGCACAACAATTCTATTTGTTCGAGAATTATTTTTTTCACCTGTTGGATTTTTGCAGATCTTTCTCTTGGGTTGTTTCGATATTTGTCTCTCTCAATTTTTGTCAAAAGAGTGGATTTTTCAGGGCATTTAAAGAGAACGAGGAATAAGCGTAAAAAAATGTTTGTTCAATGGAGTTTCTCGACTTGGTATTTCACTTTTACTGGCAAATTTAATTTCATGGTGCATTAAAGCGCTTCGTTTAGGAGGAGTATTGTAAACTACTCCATCAATAAAACACATATTAAATGATATAGATGGAATATTAATTATACAATAGGTTAATGTATTATTTTACATTTTAAATTGTAGAATTATTTTTTAGTTTTATGAAATTAAATTTGAATATTTTTATTAAAAATTATCAATAATTAATTTTTAAATTTTTTGACAAATTTTAAATCTAATTTTAATCATAATCTTACTTAAAAGAGAGTGAGACAATAACTTTAGCGGAAGGAAAAGGAATATTATATCATTATTGATCTGTTAATTTTTTAACGTTGGGTATCAATTAAAACTTACACTTAAAGTTATGTATAATTTAAAATAAAATAAAATTTGAGTATAAATCATTTATATATATATATATATATATATATATATTACAGTTGACAATAAATTTTGTACCAAAACTTCAAACAATCAATGTCCATTAACAGAAATTGCATATATATATATAGATTAATCATGACTTATGCAACACTCAAGTTTCCTGGAAGGTTCTATGGCATGGCATTATCTACAAGCCAAAAAAAATAGCCAAAAAAACTAAAGCAAGCCATTGATCTTCCTTTAGAAACACCACTCTTTTCTTGACGATCCACCTTGTTTCTTAGTTTCATCATTTTCCCTCCTCGAAACCTCACGTTTTAGAATCAGTGGCGGATCCAAAAATTTTCTTAAAAATAATGAGTATGTAAAAATTGTAATTTTTTTCTTTTTTCCTTAACACGTTAAATTAAATTTAACAACTTTTTTAAAATAATAAGATGCCCCTATGAAGCTTAGTGCATCCGTCACTATTGAGAACGTTAGGCCATCTATGGGAATAACAATCCCCATATAACTCCACACCGATTTTGCTATATGGTACAACAACAATCGCCTGATCTCCCAACTGTCGCTCGAGCTTCTCCTCGCACTGCTGCAACAACTTTTTTAAAATAATAAGATGCTTGTTCAGCTCGTTGTAGGATGGAAAGGCGTGAGGGTTTATATGGATGTAGAGACGGTGAATCAGGACGGGTGAAACACCCGAATTCGAAATCGGAATGTGGGTCGTTTGGGGTGCTAGGGAAGGAGAAGGACTCACCGGAGCTTGACCTTAACCTAGTCGTTTCTTTTGTTTGTGGGAGTTTGGATTAATGCTCATCTAAGGAAGCCTCGGTGCTTGTATTTATGTTAGTAAGAAGTTTACGACAGTAGAACAATAATTAATAATTTTTAAGGTAGAATTATTATTAAATTTCGATATGTTTGCATATAATTATTTTATGTTTAACATAATATGTTCAAATTTAAATTTTTAGTTTATTAATAATGTATAAATACTTTGTAAACATAATTATTTGAACTCGAACCTTTTAAAGAGAATAATATTTATTTTTATTACTGGTATTATTAAATAATTTCGTGTTTAAAATGAGTGTGTGCATTAAAGAGAATGTTGTTCTCCTTTAAAATCCTAAGTTCAAGATCGAAAAAAATGATTTAAAATATCAACTTATTGGTTTGTTTAGGCTCTCTCAAACAACAACAACAACAACAAAACCCAATTCCCATATGTATGGGGTAAGGGGGAGGTAGGGTAGTAGGCTGCCCCCAACGCCAGGTTGAGAATAGCTTCCGTGAAAGACCTCCGGCAGTCAGAAAATTAAAAATATAGATAAAATGCAATGCATGTATAAATAATTACATAAATACATAGTTAAACAGTATTCATATGCAGTCATTAATATCATATGTGCTTCTGTAATGGGGAGTAATCCCTGCAAAATAATCCCTGCGAAAGAGTCTCTGCATATAGACAGAAACCTAAGACCCGGCTAAAAATAACATAGGAAACATGATGAGAATGATACACATGAGACAACGATAGTAAGCCCAGTTCTAATATTTCATAAATACCAATAACAGAAAAGTATAAAAAGTAAAAGTCAAGGAAATAACTACAAATGCATTTAAAAGAAGACAAAGATGATACACCCTATAGATGTGACCCACACTACTCGACTACCCTAGTCTTAAGCCTCCATAATTTCCTATCATAGGTCATGTCTTCGGTAAGGCCTAAATCCCTCAAATCAGATCTCAAGCAGTCATCCCACTTCCGCCTTGGTCGTCCTTTCCTTCTGGCACCGTCGACTGTAATCGACTCTACCCTCCTGACCGCATCCGACGGTAGTCGCCTAAGGACGTGTCCAAACCACCGTAGTCTTCCCTCCCTCATTTTTTCGGAAACAGACATCACCCCTAAGGACATCCTAATAGCAGAGTTTGTCGTCATATCCCACAGAGTCCTACCACATGTCCATCGAAGCATTCTCATTTCTGCGGCCTCTATCCTCCTAACGTGATCCTTCTTGGGTGCCCAACATTCTGATCCATACAACAGCGCTGGTCTTATTGCCATTCTATAAAATTTTCCCTTAAGTTTTAGAGGCACCTTCTTGTCACACAAAACTCCAGTAGCAGCCCTCCACTTTAGCCATCCCGCCTTTATACGGTGTGTAACGTCATCATCTACACCCCCATCTTTATGTATCATAGACCCTAAGTACTTGAAACAATCCTTTGAGGGAAGAACGTGTCCTTCGATGCATACTTCTACATTTTCATCATTTTGGTTCCCACTGAAGTTTGAACATAAATACTCTGTCTTTTCAATATTGATCCTTAAACCTTTTTCTTCCAAAGCAGTCTTCCAGGTAGCCAGTCTGCTATTCAACTCAGATTTTGTTTCAGCCACTAAGACAATGTCGTCAGCGAAAAGCATACACCAAGGTACACCGTCTGGTGTCGCACAATAGATGTCGTCCATAATCAAGGCGAAGATGTAAGGGCTAAGAGCCGACCCCTGGTGGAGTCCGATTTCCACCGGGAATGCCTCGGTGTCGCCAACTGTAGTCCTGACGTAAGTAGTAGATCTACAGTACATATCACGAATCGTCCGGATATAAGCAGTTGGTATCCGTCTCGTTTCCAAAGTCTTCCATATCGTATCGCGAGGAACGCTATCATAGGCCTTCTCAAGGTCAATGAACGCCATGTGGAGATCTCTAGACTTTTCCCTATATTTCTCCATAAGCCGTCGAAGTAGATGAATCGCCTCCGTGGTAGACCTGTTTGGCATAAAGCCAAATTGGTTTTCCGAAACCCTAGTGACTTGTCTCAACCTAGCCTCTATCACCCTTTCCCATAGCTTCATGGTATGGCTGAGTAGTTTAATACCTCTGTAGTTACCACAACGTTGGGGATCTCCTTTATTTTTATAAATTGGTATCACCGTAGACTCTCTCCACTCCTCTGGCATCTTGGCAGTCTCTAAAATAATATTAAAGATGTTGGTCAACCACTTAACTCCCTCATCTCCTAAGGCTAACCACACAGTGATAGGAATTTGATCAGGACCGACAGCTTTCTCCCTTCCCATCTTTCTAAGAGCCATTTTGACTTCCTCAAACCCAATCCTACTTGTAGGGCAGTCATTGGCCGTAGTATGATGGTCGGCTGACCCAACAACGATATTATCTCTACATGGAGAGGCACCGTCATTAAATAAGCCAAAGAAGTAACTACCCCAAACCCTCTTAATATCATGTTCTTTCGTTAAAAGAACACCATTGTTGTCCTTAATAAACCTAATGTTACCTAGATCTTTTTTCCTAGTCTCCCTAGATTTTGAAAGTCTGAATATGCCATTTTGTCCTTCCTTAGTGTCTAATCTCTTGTACATTTCCTCATATGCCTTATCCTTTGCTTTAGCTACCGTTTTCTTGGCTTCCCGCTTTGCCTCCTGGTATCTTTGTTTAGCTCCCGACCTTTCTTCGTCGTCATTGCATTGAAGAAACTCCTTGAAGCAAGTTTGTTTTGTCTTCACCTTAGTTTGGACTTCGTCGTTCCACCACCACGATTCTTTATGTTCCTTGGCCTTCCCCGTCGACAACCCAAGGGTTTTTTTGCCCACCTCTCTGATGGAATTTGCCATATTTTTCCATAACATATCTGCGTTATTTGAGTTTGTAGTTTCAAAACCTGTATTAGACAAAAGCTTACTCCTAAAGTCATCAGTTGTCGCTCCATGTAAGTTCTTCCAGAGGATCCTAGGTTTACCCAGTTTAGCCCTCCTATGCGTGCTCCGCCCGTTGGGTACGCGGAACACCAAAACCAACAATTTGTGTTGTGATGTACATGCCTCTTCAGGGAACACCTTACAGTCAATGCAAGCCCATCGTTCCCGATTTCTAACCAAGATGTAGTCGATTTGGGTACAATGTCCCCCACTGTGAAACGTAATCAAGTTCACATCTCTTTTATTAAATAAGGAGTTAGTGATCACTAAGTCGTGAGCAGTAGCAAAATCAAGCAACGTACGCCCCTCATCATTCCTGTTACCATAACCGAAACCTCCATGAACACCGTTATACCCGTCGATTGCACTACCTATATGGCCGTTGAAGTCTCCCCCTATGAAAACTCTTTGGTCCTCCGGGATGCTCCTAAGTACAATATCTAACTGATCCCAGAAGCAACGTTTCTCCCCCTCCCCTAGGCCAACGTGTGGAGCGTACACTGAAAGGACATTAACCACTTCCGCTTCTATAATAACCTTAATCATCATGATCCTATCCCGGTATCTACAAACTTCAACAACATTTTCCTTGAGACTAGAGGATACCAAGATACCCACCCCATTTCTAGCGTTATCTACTCCTGAATACCACAACTTGTACCCATTACACTCTCTGGCGCGAGCCCCTTTCCACCTAGTCTCCTGAATACATGCAAAATCTATTTTCCTATTACTAAGTACGTCGGTCAGCTCCAGCAGCCTAGCATTTAATGTGCCTACATTTAACGAACAAACTCTAAGTCTAGTCTCATTGACACCACTCCGTTGAGCCCTCCCCCTATACGCCC